AAGAAAACCAAGGGCTGAAAGGTCCCAGTGCCAGCACAAACCCTGGAGACATGAGCTTGGAGGACAAGGCTCCAAACTGAGGAGACCTCCAAGGCTGAGCCCAGCCAAGAGGGCTGTCTGACCCGGGCTTCCCTGGGACAGGGCAATGTCACCAGGGGAGGATTTCCCTGCAGGGACCACAGCCGGGCAGGGAGGTGGCAGTGGGACCCCAGGGACACTGAGTGAGGGGCCCTGGGGACATCCCAGCTTACCTGGACCTCCCTGCCCAGGGTCTTCCCCAGGCATCACTCAGCTCCCCATGGAGACCCTTGTACCACTTGTATTTTAAACTGAATTGCCACAGCTTGGCAATTGGTCACTTCTCCCAAGGAGCAAGTGATGGGACAAGAGGAAACGGCCTCAAGTTGCTCAGGGGAGGTTGAGGTTGGATCTTGGGAACAGTTTCTTCCCCAAAGGGCTGTCAGGCCCTGGCCCAGGCTGCCCAGGGGGGAGTCCCCATCCCTGGAGGGGTTTCCAAGCCCTGGAGAAGTGGAGCTGAGGGACACGGGGCAGGGGTGGCCTTGGCAGGGCTGGGGGAAGGGTTGGACTGGGTGATCTTAAAGGTCTTTTCCACCTAGAACAATTCTGTGATTCTATGGAACTCGTTGCATCTCCCACCGAGGATGCTGCAAAGTCCCTCAGTTCCTCCCCTCTTGCACCCCTCAGATGCAGCTGAAACTCGTCCCAGCTCCAACGCGTGATCCCCCTCCCCCGCTGGGATGTCCCGGTGGCACCACGTCCCCTCCACAGCCCCCTCCTGTCCCCGAGGTGCCACCCCAGCCTTTCCCACAACCCCAGCCCTCCCGGGGGCAGCACCCGAACCCCCTTTCGCAGCCACTTGAAAGGCGTCGGGGCGGGTTCTCCGGCGGTGCCAGGGGAGGGGACAAGGCGGGGATGATGTCCCCAGGGATGTCCCCAGGGATGTCCCCAGGGCCCCGGCGCGTGGCTGTGATCGTATAGTGGTCAGTACTCTGCGTTGTGGCCGCAGCAACCTCGGTTCGAATCCGAGTCACAGCAAAACCAGCTTTTTCTCACCCCTTGGAGCACCCTCTGGAGATGCAGGGGGGGGGTGGGGGTTTGTCCCGCCCAGACATCACGCCCTGGGAGGAGGTGACAAAGCTCTTGAGGTCCTTTCCCCTCCTCCAAGTCACCAGACTCAGCCCGACCTGTCGGGGCTTCCCGGTGGGAACGCGCCCCGGCTGCTTTTTCCCGGCGGAGCTGGAGCCTTGAAGAAGGAATCGCCCCGCAAGAAGAGGACCAGGCGATGCTGTGGCCAACCTGGAGGGCAGGGAGGCTGCCCCAGGCTCAGCAGAGCCAAGGAGCTCCCCCAGGAGGGACCTGCCGCGGCCACCGCTCGAAGAAGAAGGAAGGTGAAAGCTCTCCCAGCTCCTGGGAACGGGAATTTCAGCTGCAGCAGCTCCAGGGAGGCTTCCACAGCACAGGTCAAACCCACCCAGCACGGAGGGACAGCCCTGACACGCTGTGGGTCTGGGAACCAGAGGTCCCGTGGGCACCGAGAGGCAGGGAGGGATCTCTGGGCTCCCCAGGAGGTGCTTCAGCTCCAGAAAGTGCTCTAAGCAGTTTCCTCTTCAGCTGCCTGCAGGGCACGGAGACACCCTGAGGTCCTGGTGCCCTCTCCTGACAGCTGTGCAGAGCACACGGCAGCTTGCAGGAGGAAATTGCACCTGAGCCCCTCCAGGTCTCTCCCGGGCAGCTCAGAAGGTGCTGAAGGCAGCAAAGAGCTGCCGGCACCCGGGGGGACGCAGGGAAAGCTCGAAAAGCCTTTTCCCTTCTGAAAGTGACTCAGAAAGAAGACCAGCCCGTAGAGAAGTTGTCCTTCAGCAGCAGAAGTTACCTGTCCCACCTGGACACAGCAGGAGCCCTGCTTGCAGAGGAACCAGCTGGAGGAGATGAGGTGGAAGTGAGAGGCAACAGGGCTGGAGGGAGCTCGAGGTGACAAGCAACAGAATCACAGGAGCTTTGTTGCTGGAGATCTGGTGATCACCTGGTCCCATCCTCTGCTCCAGCAGGGCCGTCCAGGGCTGGTTGCCCAGGGCCACCCAACTTTGGAATAGCTCCAAGACTCCACCATCTCCCTGAGCAACCTGTGCCACTGCACAGGTGTCCCCTGATGGTCAGAGGGAGCCTCCTGTGCTCCAGTTTGTGCCCGTGGCCTCTGGTCATGGCACTGGGCACCACTGGGAAGAGCCTGGCTTACCCTCCTAGGAGAGATGCTCCAGCCCCTTCATCATCTCCATGAAAAATCAGGCCCAGCAGGAACCCAACCTCTGAGGATGGTCCGTTTGGGCACCTAAACAGGTCTCAGTGAGCAAGGGAGAAGGTCGATTCCTCCATCCCCACCTCAGCAGCTCCAGGTGGGACTATCCCAGCAGGAAGAAGAGTTGCTCCTGCCCACGGGCTCCTAAAGGATAATTTCTTTGCCTGAACAGGGGCTTGAACCCTGGACCCTCAGATTAAAAGTCTGATGCTCTCCCAGCTGAGCTATCCAGGCTCCTGGAGGGGATTTTGGGGGGGTCCAGGACAGGCAGGGAGGTCCACCCCCCCCACACACACACACTGCAGCACTGGTGGGACAACCTGGGGACTCCTTGGAGCTCCCCCCCCCTGCTCCACCTCAGAGGAGACATCATCCCACCAGGAGCACCCCAGGACCCTGCCCTGCCCCAGGAACCCTTCCTCAGGCCAGGAGGGGGACCCTGGGGTGGAGGTGACACATAAATGCCAGGTTTGTCCTCATGGGGACAGCCAAAAGCCAGGGTGACAAGGAGGAGGAGAAGAGCCTGGTGGAGGCTGTGGGTGAGGAAAATAATAAGCCAGCAGCTGTGGGCTTTGAACTCAGTTATCCCAGCACCCAACACCAGCTCCTTAGCCCTCTCAGCTGTGCTGCTGGTGCTGCCAGGGCTTGGGACTGGGATTGTCCTGTGGGCTGGACCAGCCTCCCACTTGGGACTGATCCTCAGGTGGCTGCAGGAAGGATGGTTTGCAGAGACGTGGTCTAGGATGGGGCCACCAGCTCAGACCAGTTCCTAAAGGCCACCTGTCCCTTTCTCTTGCCCTTCCTCCCTGTTCTACTGGAAAGGACTCCTCTGTTCCATGAGGAACCTTCCAGTGTCCTGCAGACCCAACCCACCTGGCCCTTGCCTGTGAGGAAGAAGACATCGTCCCTTCAGGAGGAGAGTGTGACTTTTCTGAAGCTAACCCACTGTGTTGGAGCTCTTTGTGCCTGTCCTGGCCAAGCTGGAAGGAAAACCTCCCCTGGGAAGGCTGAAGCTTTCTGCCCCAGAGCTCATCTCCAGAGAAGATGCTGGATCTGAAGGATCTGTAAGCAGAGGATGGGGCAGGACTTGGGGTGAGCACTGATTTCCTATGATTCCTGTTCATACTCCTGGAGTGTCCTCAGGTTTTTGTCCACCAAGGAGAACATGCTGGAGCTGCATCCCCAGATCCTTCCTCCCCTGAGCCCCATGAGCTGCTGGTGCCACCGAGCTGAGCCCAGGGGTGACACTGATCCCTGAGGGGGGCTGCAGAACACCCCCCCACCCTGGGTCCAACCTCCTCCTCTCCACGGTCCATATGTTCAGCCCTCACTTCCCAGGGCAGGAGGGCTTTGCTTGGGCAGGGCAGGGCTTGGGTGCACCAGGAGCCTGGCTGTGTCGTGGGGATGGAGTCTCCCAAGGGACTTGGAGGGCATGGGGACCCTGTTTCTGTGTCCTCAGGTGGATTTGTAACCCCCTCCTTCAGAGCAGGCACTTCAAAACCCACCAAAAAAAAAAATAAAAAGCCCTGCTGGAGCTGTCACCTTCCTCTTCCTCCCCCCGGGGGCTGGACTGTGGCCCAGGGTCCCTGGGGACCTGCCAGCAGCTCCCTACCTGTGCCCCGGGGTGGGGGGAGAGTCCTGGGCAGGGGCTGGAGGAGGAGCCAGGGGGGGGCAGCCAGCCCCC